ACCGCCAACAAACGGACGACATTTTGGAGAATCAGAGAAAAAACAACAAAAATGAGATTAATGCCAAGCTTAATAATCAGGAGCAAAGTATCGAAGCTGAACACAAGGACGATAAGGAGCGAAAAGTTCGGAAGATCGACTTGAAAGCGTACGGTTTCGAAAACGAGTTTTCGGATAAGAAGAAGCCTCAACAAATCGGCCAACAAAGAATGGTGAATAGACTGGACCTGAGCTCCTTCGGCTATCAAAATGGTCTGCGTCGCGCTCACTCCAACAACCAATTGGACCAACCATTGCGGAACAACGACAAATCAAACCTGATTAAACATGGATATAAAGAATATATGATTGACACGCCGAGATCATTCGGCTGCAAGGATTTCGCGAAGAGCTCAAGAGGACTCAACGAGCTGCGGGACGAAGTCGAGGAGGTAAATTCGCGGCTAATATCCGTCAAATCAATGCCAAATGTCGCTGAAGACGTATGTTATCATGCGAATCCGGTTTACGTGAACGACACGCAGGATGAACTGACCGCCATAAATCTACTGGATTACGTGAGGGAACGCGATGTGATCATTGAGGATGACATTTCGCTAAATGATTACGATGAAATCTCATCCGACGTCGAGAGATCTTTCGAGGATATATATATTATGACCAAGGCTCAGTCTCGGGAGACGAATGAAGAATTGCGGGTGATGCCCTCGGTGAAAAGACTCGCGGAAGTGTTCGGCAGGCGACAGACTTCCGAAAAGACTGCCATGCCCGCGAAAGTATACAGAGCTTCGGTAACTAACGAAATACCCTTTTCATTTCAGTTAGATTTCAGTTTAGTCTTGGACTGATATCGAATTTCGATGCATTTGTTCAGAGCAAGAATAACATACGTTCATAATTCATAAAAATAAAAGATATACGTAGACAAATAAATGGATAAATAAGATGGATTTATTTAGAAACAGAAAAATGTTCTACAAGTAAAATATTTACCAGAATTTTCAAAAATTTGAATGACTACAAATTCAGATGAAAAAGACTTATGAACTATAACCTGTAGGCTTCACTCTTGTTCTGAATATTTAATTTGATTATTTAATTGCATAAATTTGTCGGTCACAGTAACTAACTAAACTAAATTGTAGTACAATCCCAAAAATTATGACGTCATACATTTGACACATTAATAATATTTATTTGAATAATTATTCATGACACAAATATTTATGAATATTTCTATTTTTAGCCTCAGAAGCTTTAGAATTAATATAGAGCATTTTTTTAAATAGGCATCATACATCAGTACAATTTATATATTGGATCAAATCGATTTTCTGTCTCGCAGGTGGCAAAAGTAGATGATGCCAAGGATAGATCGGTCACTCCTGAAGTACAGATAGTTGAAACGCCCAGGCAGATGCACAGTTTGACAGCCAGATCTCTTTCGAGGGAATTTCGGGAGGGTTTACGTCAAATGCCCGGAAAACTAACGTCGCTACCAGTCAGTCGATCGTTAATAGAAGAGCGACCTACAAATCGAACAGAAATCGTGCGATCGAAACAAGAGACCAACGACACCGCCGTGATCTCACCTGGCAAGCTCAAATCGAACATAATATTTTGGGAGCAAATGCAGAAAAGAAGTTAAACAGTATTTTCCCATGAATTCTTAATAATTGTTGCAGTATTCTGATATTTACAAGACAGAACGAAAAATTACGGTCGCGAAATCAATTTTGTATATACGTATATGAAAAACATAGATTGGAGATCAAAAATATGTATATATCGCTAAGAAAATCACGGCTTAGTAGTACGAATTTATACGACAAAATCAAATCAAGAAGTTAACTCAAAGAAATATATAACTAAATAGTGTAAATATAGTTATTGTGGGGGTTTAATGGCAAATAACACACAGTTACTAAAATTACGAAGACAAATTGCTTTCAGTCAAAATAGGATTTATGATCAATTTCGCAATTCATCAATTTTGTATATTTGTAAATGATTTTTGTACGTAGGATTTTTTTGCTCAGTTTCGAACTGAGTGAAAATGTGGAACTATGTAAACTTCATGCAAAGTCAAGTCAAATGTGACACTTTAGAAACGGCAGTTATAAGAAAAGATTAATTGCTACTTAATTAAGAGTTAAGTAATTTGCATTCATAAAATTGCCAACGTTGCTATCCTTGCGAGCGGCAAGGGTGTGTTAATGTCTGCATCAAAAGATAGTTCCTTGGGCCGGCCACACACGTTCAAGTAAACTTACACAAGTATGCTTGCGCGAACCACTTGTACAAGTTTACTTGAATGTGTGTGGTCGGCCTTAGCGTAAATTAATTTTGAGACGTTGTAATGTTAACATGATAGGATAATTTTTTCGCTGTAAAGGCGATAACAGGAAGATAGCTTTACATAGAAGTGTAATGAAATTCGTGCCAAATGGCATCGCAACACGATATGTTGATAGCCAAAGAAAGCATTCGAACATCGTGTTCGAGATGAGAAATCAGGTTAATCCTTTCTGCCCTGATTTATGGAGCGTTTTTAATTATAAAAAAATTATTCTTAAGTTTAAAAAAAAATTGTCGAAAAAAATAAAAATGGATTTTCTAAAAATGTGTACTATTAACTTTTTTGCAAAATTGAAAGAAATATAGTTATTACAATCATGTTGTGCTACAAAGAGCCAAAAAAAGAGTTAATCCAACGCGTTGCCGATCGAGGGAAATCATTATTTCATAACGTACATAATTTAAGATTTTGCGAGCGTTTTGTATTATTACAGATATGAAGATATATTCATGTAATTAAATAAATTATCAAGGAAGAAAGAATATTATTCTTGATTATTACCCGTAACTAATATGACGAAAGTAACAATTTCAAATTGAATCATTTTTTTAAATTCACTGATAAAGTTTCGGCGATTTAATCCGCGCGTATAAGTAATAAATAAAAACATTAATAAATTTATCAGCAAATAATAATTCATTATCAATTTCGTGTAATCAATCAAATAGGAAATGTGTACTTACTCTTCGTAGCGTGATTGACCAAACCTCGTGGCATGATTGACACTACATGATATTCTCTCTTTACATAACATTCCCAATATTAATCACACGATACATTGCAATAAAAGAGGAAATATGGAAAAGATATGATCGCACAAAGTGATAATTTACCTAACATTTCTTACAAATTTATCTAATGGATGAAATTTAAACAATGAGAAGTCTTTAAATCACCAATGTATATAAAATATCAAATTTAAATTATTGGTTGATAAATATTAAAAAATATAATTAAGGACAGATGAGATTAATTGGAAATTAACTTATTAATTAAACAAAACGCGATGATATATGACCCAAAATTTTGCAATTTGCGTCTGCGAGCACATCTCAAGGAAGAATAAGATACGCGAACTATGCGGAGCGACACGTTCCACGTACTACGATTGTCGTGTAAATGATAACGTGTCGACCTTGCGTACAAACAACAGACCGAGCGTCGCGCAGGCTAAGCCCCAATTCTAGGAAATGACGCGGTAATTTATAAACAATGAAAACGGTCTATCCTCGTTATAACTTATTATTAACACGCATTTATACGATAACAGTGGAACGTGTGTCTTCGCGTCGAATACATTACTTATCGCAACGATCATTTTCTGCAAATATATGTATCTCGCACTAATTGACATTTTTATTAATCACAATTAATTAATTCTCATAATCCATAATTTTATTAGCCAAGCTAATTTATCAAATGAATATTACGCGTAATTTGAAATAAATGCAATACAGTATAACGGACGAAATCGGAATATTATAAATTATTAATTAATTTCGATATACACGAGTGATATAATTTTTTTTAATAAATAATTAAATTCGGAATCTCTTACATCACGCTTTAAAATATTTGTCCTTTAAAATTAAATAGCTTTAAAGTGCGGGATAACATAAATCATAGAATAAAGTAATAACGTTAATTAACACGTGCCTTTCCAAGATTGATTTACGCGTACAAAATTACGAGTGTATCATTTAATTTTCACTTTCAAGTAGTTTCAATTCCAATTAAATGTACGCACCATTTAATTAATCTCGTGATGTGAGGTGAGTTTTTAGTTGAAATGCATAATTAAAGGTTGTGAAAATTAATCCTCATATTTTTCGATCGTTAGCTAAATGTTACTGATACCTACCGAACTGTCATCGAGTTGCAACACGTTTAATTAGTGAGTATAATGATAATAATTAAAGAACTCTATTTTAACATGTATTTATTATTCGCAATAATTATTCATTTATCAACTGCGTAATATAAATTCGATAATAATTTATATACAAAATTCAGAATAGAATTTTATTGTATCGCCCGTAATATTAGAAATATTTGTAAAACATTAAAGTACATAAAA